CCTTTTGTGATATAAAGGGGAAAAAACAATGGTAGAAACTGATTCTTTTTGTGATACTGATAGGCTAGAGTGCAAACTAGGTCCACAGGACAAAGCTTGCTGCTATTTATTTGACCCTTGTAACTGTGGAGTGTTTAAATAATTATTTTTCCCATAAGAATCTGAAATTTTATTTTATTTTTAAAAACCAGCACATCTACTGTAATAACTATTCTTGGGGTCAAGTGACTGACTACTAGTTTTAATGCAGGGGAATTTAAGAGTTAAACATTTTAGCTATAGGCATAGTTGATGGGCTTATGTGATTAATGCATGTGGGAAGGTGTTATTCCCGGAACTGGAATTCATGACCATGTGGCTCCAGGAAGTTGACAAGCAATTCAACCTTTGTGCCCCAAGGATTCCTCAGCTGTGGAGATGGTATCTGAGCCATTTTGTTCTAGAGAGGGAACTCCTGAGATGCAAATAAAGAAGTGTTGATCAAAAAACTATGGTACATTTACACAACGGAATTCTCCACAGCAGAGAGAAAGAAGAAGCTCCTATCCTTTGAGACAGCATGGATGGAACTGGAGAGCATTATGCTAAGTGAAATAAGCCAGGTGGTGAGGGATAAATACCATATGATCTCACCTTTAACTGGAACATAATCAACAAAAGAAAAAAAACCCAAAATATGACCAGAGACATTGAAATTAGGAACAATCTGACAGTGGCCAGAGGGGAGAGGGGAGAAGACAATGGGGAGAAGGGTTTTCAGGAACTACTATAAGGGACACATGGACAAAACCAAGGGGGAGGGTGGAAGCAGGGGAGGGAGGTGGGTTTGGGTGGAGTGGGGGGAAATGGTGGGGAGAAAATGCAGACAACTGTAATTGAGTAACAATAAAGTAATTAAAAAAAGAAGTGTTGATCAACAGATAAAAGAAATTCTAGGAAAATCACCTGCCAGACCACAACTATTATCCAATTAACCTTTTTTCCCAAACCCCTCATCTACCCTTCTCATAAAAATGTAGGTTTCAGATGAGACATTAAGATGGTTTTTATAGGGTACATAACTTGTCTTCTCAGATTGCAGGCATTCTAACAAAGCACTCATAAAGATTCAATTCAATCTTTGAAAAATATTTAAAAAAAGAAAAACATCAGTACATTTAGTAATAACAATCCCACATTCTAGAGCTGAGTAGCTGTGTCCCTTTTGTTAGAGTTCGCCACAGATCACAGCCCAGCTCTTATTTGTCTTCTACCATTTGACTTCACTCATTTACCTGACTGCACAGCCTGTGAGGGATTCATGTTTGTCACTCTACTTTTAGGCTTTCTGTGAGAGAGTGAAAGTCTCCCTTACTTTCGATTTAATAGCACAGGTCATGAATTCATTCCTATACCTTGGCCTTCTCTTGCAAGCTGTAGGTTCATAGATACAATGCCTTATTGACTCCACTTTTTAGTAAGAATAGTAATAATCATATCTCGTAATTATTGTCCATTTATTAAGTACCACATATTGCACCAAAGGCTTTATACAATATGTAGTGCATTATCACATTTATTCCTATATTAAAATTAAGAAAGTGTTATTACTTATACCCATTTGACAGATGAAGAAGTAGAAGTTCACAGAGGTAAAAAGTGTTTCCTGGGACACACAGGTAGTAAGTGATGGGATCTGGATCCTGGGAGATGCCGTTAGTTGACCCTATTGCAGAGCCTGAGTTCCTAACCACTCTGTGCTCTCCGTGATACACAACTGTCTGCCTCTCAATATCTTCAAAATGCAATTAATTCCTTCCTTTAAACCTGTTCCTTATAAAGTATTCTTTAACCTACTAAACAGTACTCTCATACACTTAATTCCTCAAGACTGAAATCAGGGAGTAATCTTTGTTCATTCTTTCCTCTTATTCAGTCTGTATATCCTATAAATAGGTAAGTCATGAAAAAAACTGTTTCAACCAAATATCTACTGATACTATTCACTTTTTTTCCCACTTATTCTATCATGGTACTTGTTATAATGATTTCTTACCTGGATGGCTATAACATTTTCCTATTGTCTCTTCCTTATTAATTCTTTTCATCTCTTCTCTAATCAATTCTCTATATTATAGACAGAGTGAATATCTTAAAATGTAAACGTGACTATTTTACTTTCCTACCTAAATACTTCATTGGCTTCCCATTACCATGAAGGTATAGTTTCTCTTCTTTAGTGTGGCTCATACATCTTATTAGCTTTTTGCCTCACTCATGGTCTCATCTTCTGTCACACTTTTTATTCTTTCCACTACTATATCTAGAGTTTATCTCAATTCTATAAATTTGTAAATTCTTTATCCTTCTATTCATTCCATCCATTCTTCCATTTCTCCTTTGGAGTAAAAAGGGAGGAAAATATAATGATGCAAGAGCATCTGGTAAATAAGAGAAGGGCAAAACCTATAGGGCTCTATAAAACATCTTTAATTTTTTAAAATAACAACAGTAGGCTATTGAAGTTATAAGTAGAATGACAAAGCAGATTTGTATTTTCTAATGTATTGGGAAACACTGGCAGAGTAGCTTAGTTGGTTAGAGTGTCATCCTGATATGCCAAGTTTGTGGGTTTGATTCACATTCAGGGCACATAGAAGAATCAACCAATAAATGCATAATTAAGTGGAGCAACAAATCTCTTTCTCTATGTCTCAAATTAAAAAAAGAAACTATTAATAATGAGGTGGGAAGAATAAGAGATAACTAAAAGAAACAGGAAGAAAGCTATTGCATTGAGCTTGGTGAACATGGAAGAGAATGGAGAAAGTCAGAGATCAACAACTAGATATATAATAGTGCCATGCACTTGAGTTAGAACACAATAATTCAGATTTAATTCTATTGGGTTGGAAGGTCTAATACTTTGTTTGAGAGTCTCTGAATTTGTTTTTCTCTCTGTCTAGAAGTGCCTGTAAGCAAAGCCATGCTACTTACATAGGAGAAAATGAACAGGACCTATTCCTTGTATAGAGCAATACCTGGAGCAGAAAGTATCCATTCTGCACATGCTATAAGAAGAAATAAATAAATGAAATAATGCATGTGGTTATTGTTGGTGTCTGGAAAAGTATCCATGGGTCTTCTTAAACTTGGGGTTGTTTCAGGGATTCCTCTTTTATTAATCACACACTCTCAGTAACATGTTTTACTCTGTGGAATTAGGTTTTATTTTAGGAATGAAAGTACATTTATTGTGAGATGAAAAACATGCTAAGATTTTTCTTTGAAACTTTTATATATATCATACGTTTATTCATTTTAATATGTTTATTGATATTAGAGAGAGAGGAAGGGAGAAAGAGACATCGATTGTGAGAAACATTGAGCAATTGATTGCCTCCCATGTGCACCACTAATGGGGTACTGAACCCTTGACCTAGATGTGTGACCTGACCAGAAATCAAACCTCCAACCTTTTGGTGTTTGGGACAATGTGCCAACCAACTGAGCCACCTGGCTATGGCAATATATCATATATTTAAATTTTGTAAACAGCATTGTAGGATAGATATTGGTAAGTTTTAAAAAAAGAAAATAGAGCTTATATAAGGAAAATAATTTTCTTAAGCCACAGAGTTAGAAAGCAGAACTTTCTAAATCTGACACCAAGTATGATACACTTTCTAGTGTATCACAATAACTCTTTAATTCATTATAAGATATGAGAACATGACTTTCATATGAGGACAAAAAGTGCAAGTACACAGTCTAGATATAGATTCCAGCTATAAATTTTTATGCACAACTATACAGTGGCTTTATGGTTTTTCTGAGGTTTTTGTGTGTATAGACACATAAGACATAAAGCACCCGTGACACTCACATATGTTTTTCACTTTATTTTATTTTCTCTGTACAAGTGACACAGGATCTTTCATACAATGACACCCAAGGGTTACATGTACCCATCATTGCAGAAACAGACAGAGTGAAGCACTAGTGGCGGGGTGGGTACATGATCTGCCAAGAGTTAAATGTCAAGTGTGTTAGATAGCCTGGGAAGATACCAATTTCTTGTGAAGCCTGGCTCTGCATAACCCTCAGAGTGGAAGATTTTGTCTTTGGCCCTCTGCAACTCACTTTCTTGATCCTGAACTAAAACTATGCAGTAATATGACAGTATCATACCTCCCTCTAGATTTTTCAAAGTTTTTCTTATTTCGTTTATTTATTTTATTCATTGATTTTTAGAGGGGGAGAGAGAGAGAGAGAGAGAGAGAGAGAGAGAGAGAGAGAGATCAATTCATTTTCCACTTATACGTTCATTGTTTGATTTTTGTGTATTCCCTGACCAAGTATTAAATCTGCAGCCTTGGCCTATTGGGCAAATGCTTCAACTAAGCTATTTAGCCAGGACCTAAAGCTTTTCTTGACAGCATCTTATCTAGGTCTGCTTACCTTACAGATACTTTTTTTTTTAATCTCAGGCAATGTGGAGGTACAATTATAATACAAAGTGGGTATAAGAAATTATCTCTTTTTGGTTCATTGACTCATGATCTTTTTGATATAAGTAGTGTCTCAACCTATTTCCACTTTGTTCCCCACCGTCAACCCATGTTCTCTACTCTTTCTTGATATGCAAGAGATCAATGATTATGACAAGAATAACTTCAGATATTTCTCTTAATGTATTTCTTCTCTCACACTTCTGCTTCAGCTTTGCACATGCTGTTGCTTTGGACCATAATTTCTTACTTTGATTTCCTAACTCCTATATGCCCCTTAAGGCTGTCAATTCAGAGAATCTTTCTTGACACTCTCTTCCCCCTGCTACAGGACAGTGTATTTTTGTTCCTATATCAACTTGTATTTACTATGAATAATACAATTTCCTGTATATATTTGTTGAGTACATAACTAGCAACCTCCTTCATTTTATGTACAATTGATATTATAAGGATAGGGGAGTAATGGTACATTTAAGGAAATATTGCCTCCAAGACTAGATCCAGCTACTAACAAAAGACATGGGTCACACGATCTCGGATCTGTTTTGTCTTCACACTGTAAATGATAGGGTTCATTAGGGGAGGGAATAAAAGATATACAAAGCCCATGATAACTTGGACCAGATGAGGTGCCCGCTTCCCAAAGCGATGGATGATGGACAAGCCAATCATGGGAGAGTAGAAGAGAAGCACAGCACAGATGTGGGAAACACAGGTGTTGAGAGCTTTGAATCTCTCCACCTTGGATGCAATGGACAGCACGGTACGCAGAATCAGGGCATAGGAGAAGAGAATGAGCAGTGAGTCTACACCCACTGTGGAAACAATAACAAACATGCCATAGATGTTGTTGGCTTTGATATCTGCACAGGCCAATTTCATCACCTCTTGATGGAGACAATAGGAATGCGAGAGGACCAGTGAGCCACAGTAAGGGAATCTTCTGAGCATAAAAGGCAATGGGAAAATGAGTGCTACACTGCGGCCCAGGGACGCTAGGCCAATTCTGCCAATGACTGTATTGGTGAGAATGGAAGCATAGCGCAAGGGGTGACAGATGGCCACGAAGCGGTCAAAGGCCATGGACAGTAGCACAGAGGACTCCAGGAAAGACAAACAATGAATGAAAAAGAGTTGGGCAAAACAAGCCTCGTGACCAATATTTCGTGCCCCAATCCAAAATATGCCCAGCACTGTAGGAAGTGTGCAAAGAGACAGACCTAGGTCAGTCACAGCCAGCATGGACAGGAAGAGGTACATTGGTTCATGGAGTGAAGGCTCTGTTTTAATGATAAAAACAATTGTGCAGTTGCCCAGGATGGAAACCAGATATATGAGACATAATGGGATGGAGATCCCGATGTGCATGTGTTCCAGCCCAGGAATGCCACTCAGCAGGAAGGAGGAAGCAATACTACTGTTGTTTTCCAGGGGTCCCAATGTCATTGTGTATGGAGGAAAGGGGGTGTTGAATTCCCTTCAAATTCCTGAAAGAAATGAATTGAGAAAAAGCTAGTGATTGTGCCTGGAAAGGAAGTTTTAAAAAAATGATTAGAACTGTACAGCTCCTCCAAAAGTCATTTCTTTTTTGGACCCTAGCACCCTCTGATCATTTTTTAAAAAATTACTTTCCTTAAATTTTTTTCTTTTTGCTCCTTCAGACTAAGAGTTTTGAGCATCTTTACTATTCCTGTTGATGATACTTAACTTTGCTTACTCCTTATGAGAAGACCTTTAACTAATTTCTCCTCACATGTATCTTTTCTGCCAGGGCTCTCACTAACATTTTAAACTTTCTTTTAACTTCTCTTCCTTTCTCTTCACTTTACTTCCTTTGCTATTCCCCTTCCTTCCTTCCTTCCTTCCTTTTTCTCTTTCTTTTCTTTCTTTCTTTCTTTCTTTCTTTCTTTCTTTCTTTCTTTCTTTCTTTCTTTCTTTCTCTCTCTCTCTCTCTCTCTCTCTCTCTCTCTCTCTCTCTTTCCTTCCTTCCTTCCTTCCTTCCTTCCTTCCTTCCTTCTTCTTTCTTTCTCTCTCTCTTTCTTTCTCTTTCTTTCTTTCTTTCTTTCTTCTTTCTCTTTCTTTTTCTTTCTCAACCACATATGATTGTTAATCTTAAACACTGACAAATTCTTCACACACCTTTTTTCCGTTCTTCCTGCTATTGAAGTCTAGCTTAATTCAGATAGAGCATAAGTGCTACTCAGCTCACAGAATTCCAAAGAGAACTGGAGAATATGCAAATGGCTGTCTACAAAGTTATTCTTGATGGCTGGAGTAAGAAATCAAAGCTCTGATTTTTATGTCACTCAGTAATTGGCTTTCCCTAGAAGTCTAGTAATCAACTGATGTGAATGTGTGGGAGAAAAGACTAAGGATGGGCACAGTGCCAATCAATGCAGAGTCCATGGAAGTCCACAGAACAAAAGGCAATGATGCTGGTAGGGCTCATTCTTCTTCAGAAGAAATTTCTTCTTCTCATGAAGAAAAATGCTCAGGAGGGGACATTCACAAGGCAGAGGCTACATTCTTATTAGAGCCTCCTGGTTTCTAGAACAGTGATCATCTTACTCACAATTTATATTCCCAGTAGAGTATGAGCTCAAAGTGCACAGGGGCTTTGCTTTGTTCATTTCTATAAAGACAGTGTTTTAGAATGTGCACTGGTATACAGTATGTGCTGAGCAATTTTTTAAAATATATGAATAAGAGTTAAGTTTTGTTTATCTAACTGTTGCTAACTTGGTCCATGTTTTATCTACTTAAAATAATTCTATGAATAAAGTTCTCTTAATACTATGATATTTTAGATGAGAACACAGAGGCTTAGAGAAAATGAACATTTCTTACATCACAGTCAGGCCAAAATGGGATTTGAACTGAGATCTAATTTTTCTCTAGATTCCAGGCACTAAAAAATGATTACATTTTCTTCTCACACTGATGACAATTCACTGTCTACTAGCAGCCCTACAAATCAAGGACTTAGTAGGGACAGGCAAAATACACAGTGGTTAATAATATAACTCATAAATACTAAGGCAGAGAATATTTTTGACCTGAAAATAAAGTAGGGTGGTGAGGAAAAACTATAATATCTAATGAACATTCACTATTTATCAGACAATATACTGGGAACATTGCAAAAGAAATAGCATGAGACCTTAGAAAAGCTTTGGAAGTTAATATTATTACCTCAATTTGCAAACAAGGAGAGACAGCCTTAGAAAATTTGATCGCGTGCCTAATGTCATGCAGCCATCAGTGACAGAGCTGGAACTCAAAGGCACATTCTGAAATTTTGGAAACATTTAGGTTAACAAAGCTAAGCAGTGAACAGATGTGAGAAGGCTGTTGTCTCCTTTCTTAGCCAGTGCTAAAACCAGACCTGGAATCCCATGAAGTCTGTTCTGTCTGACCATAGCAGTCTCCATTTTGGGCAGGCAACCTCTATAGGCTTTCTTGTGCTTCAAACTTCTTTCTGTATTTTTCTCTGTCTCCAAATCTCTGGCTGAGACCTCTGGGACTTCTTCTTGGTTCCACCACTCAGCACCAAATACCTGCCCACTATATTGACCCTTCACACACCAAGTCTGGGTCCAGAGGCTCCAGACCTTACATAGGGAAGAAGGATGGCAAAAGCTAGAGACTCTGGGGTTATAAAGGACAGAGGGTGAATGCTTAATTACCTGATTTTTATGCAACTGCCTGGAGTTCCCATTGAGAACCTTTTAAGGATCTTTAATCAATTCCCCAATCTGACTGTCTTCCTCAACTTCATTATCTCAGACCTTGGGAATAGGGAAAAGAGAGAAGAAGAGAATGACCTTGTGAAATGTTTAGAAGGGGAGCCCAGAGGATATTATGTGTGCAGTTATATCTGAAAGATCTGGAGAAGGTTTTAAATAACCTCCACCAATTCAGAAAAGCAGAGTGGGTGATGTTAATAGTTCTTTATGTGTAATGTATCATAACTGTATAATTTATGCACATTGTATGTGACAGTGTACATGATATATATATACATATACACACATATGTATATGTATACATATATGATACATATATATGTATATATACATATATATACATGTTTCCATATATATATATATATTTAAAAGATTTTTTTGATTAATGCCCTTCTTTTAATGCCCTTCTTATCACCAAAGAGGAAGCAAGAAGTCAGGCCAAGTTCTTGGAATATCGTGATTGTATGGATGCTTATTCTTGGTATCCTGTGCAACCCTATGTGCTCTTGACCCCTGCCTACACTCAGAGACTCCATTTCTTCTTCCTGTCTCTGATCTACTCAAAACTTAACCCTATGTTTCTAGACATCAAGAGGAAAATTAGAGAAACTAGCCTATTCTTATAACTTGTGGGCAACATAAGCCCCTGCAAAGAGTAGTTAAATCCAAGAAGGAATTTTATATGTTAATACAGGGATATGAAGAGTTAATTATCTATTTTTGGCCTCTGAAACCTGATGGAGAAGAAATTTTAGACAGAAGAATTAAGGACCATTTCAGTGTTACCATTACCCAGGTAATTAGTATCTAGCTTATTGGATTCTTTTTGGGAATATAAAGGTATAAATAGTAAGGAATGCCCTAGAATAGGGGTCCTCAACCTCCAGACTGTAAACCAGTACCAATCAGGGCCTGTTAGGAACCAGGAGGTAAGTTTGAATAAAATGTGCTTGACACATCCTGAAACCATCCCCTCCACCCTGGGCTGTAGAAAAATTGTCTTCCATGATGCCAGTCCCTGGTGCCAGAAAGGCTGGGGATTGTTGCCCTAGAATCCTCAATCCAATCACAAGAGATTATTCCAATTCATTGACTTGACTGGAAACTTTGAAATGTGGTGGGCATCCTCTTGTGGTCACACTTTATTAATCTCTGGTTGAGCATGTATACCTATTTGAGTATTATGAAGCAGTATTTTTCAAATTGTAGTTCCCAGATAATTAGGATCAGAATCACCTGGGATGTTTGTTAACATTCAGATCTTTGGGCCTCATCCTTACAGAACCAAAACTGGCATTTTTAACAACAACAAAGGTTTAGGAATTTTCATATACCCCCTTTTTATGATTTATTTTCAATTCTAATTTCAGAATTTTCTATTTTCTCTATAATTAAAAAGGCATCTCCACTTTTAGCCTGAAATTTATTACAAAATATAAAATCTCTTGTATCGGATTTCTAGGACAGCAGCAACAAAACCACCACAGAGTGGCTTTAACAACAGAAATGTATTTTCTCACAGTTCTGTAGCTGGAAGTCCAAGGTCAAGGTGTCAGCAGGCTTGGTCTGTTCTTAGGCCTTTATCCTTTGCTTGCAGGTGGCCACCTTGTCACTAGGTCCTTATACGGTCTTTCCTCTAGGTATCAGTATCATTGGTATCTTTTCTTTGTACAAGGACACTAGCTGTATTGAATTTAGGCCCACCCTAACAGCTTCATTCTAACTTAATCACCTTCATTTTAACTTAATCGTATTTTTAAAGATCTTACCTCCAAACACATTTTAAATTGCTGAGGGTTGTAACTTCAACCCTTTTGGGAGAGCCATTATTTAGTTCATAACATTTGTTTACCTATACTTTCTATCATTTTTTCATCTATTTAACAAATATTTTATGATATAAATAATACTCCTTTTATTCACAAGTAGTATCTCTTTACAATCTCTGAGTCCAAGCACTGGAAAGAAACAGGTAGTATTAGATGTGTTTTGGCAGAAAATTGGTTCAAATCTCAGATGTTATGGAGGAAAAGAAAGACAGACAAAGATATATAGAGATAAAAAAAAAGAGAGACTGCCCTTCCATTCTAAATGATAGCTTTGCTGGATAGAGTAATCTTGGATGTAGGTCCTTGTCTTCCATGACTTTGAATACTTCTTTCTAGCCCCTTCTTGCTTGCAAGGTTTCTTTTGAGAAGTCAATTGATAGTCTTATGGGAACTCCTTTGTAGATAACCCTCTCCTTTTCTCTTGTTGCTTTTAAGATTCTCTTCTTATCTTTAATCTTGGGTAATTTAATTATGATGTGTCTTCATGTGTTCCTTCTTGGTTTGAATATCTTTGGGACTCTGAGCTTCCTGGGCTTCCTGGAAGTCTATTTGCTTCAGCAGATTGGGGATGTTCAGAACTGCCTTGCCTGATTTCAGGAGCTGTAACCCCCCACCCCCATGGCTAAGGCTGAGTGAGTGACCTTCAGACCATAAGCCATTAAGGAGACAAAACTTACCTCCCTGGTGAGGATCCTGCCTCTGCTCCTTTTAATTCACCCTGCCTGGCCCCCAGTGCTTGAATGGTTAGCCAATGACAGGTAAGATTCCTCAAGGGAGGCATGACCTAAGACAGGCATGATCATGGGGCCCCCAGGGAAGGACTTGGGAGCTACAGAAAAGGGGTGATGGACTCTTGCCCCTTGGCTTTGAC